CAATTTGGATTGCCTCGATATTTGCAACTTAGACATGCTCTGATGACCCAATTTGGTAATGCTTCTCCACACTTCAATCCAACACCGGTCCTGGACACCCTTGTTGCCGCCTGTAATACTAAGGGTATTATTTCTTATCTATATATTTGCTTATTAACCAACTCGACATTACAAACCCCTTTGAGTGCCAGGAGTAAGTGGGAGAACGACCTAGGCCCTATTACAGATGACGACTGGACGGGTGCTGTGAGGGCTGTTGTCTCAGTTTCTTTGTCCACGTCTCATAGACTTACCCAACTATTTATTTTGCACAGGACCTATCATACTCCTGAGTTCCTGTTCAAGATAGGTGTCAGGACTGACCCTTCTTGTCCAAAATGTGGTTTTTGCCAAGGATCCCTGATACATTTATTGTGGAGATGTCCTAAATTGGTCCGGTATTGGGATGCAGTGCTTAAAGTTATTCATTCTGTCTTCAGTATATTGTTAGATAAAACTTGCCTTGTTTCTTTCTGTCTATTTAGGTGCTCACATAATGTCCTGATACAAACCAAATACATACCTCACGTTTATATTTTAAATATTTTGTGAATAAATTCAGATAAGGGGATGGGTGGTGATGGGGTTCAGGAATTGTGGAGTTGTTTTGAAGTGTTTTTGTGCATTCTGTTCTAAAATTTTATTAACCTTTAAGAAATAGCAGTGTAATAATGAAGAAAAAGAGGCTCACAAATTTTCATTTTAAAATGCTGTGGCACTAGGCCGATTTGTATGAAGTTTAGGGCGTTTTTTTGTAAAGACTAAACTTTCCTATAGCTTTTAGATCAATTTTGGCTGCTGCTTCCACTGGTAAATTTAGGCCTGTTACTGCTTGATAAAAAAATCAGGTGTTTCAGCCAAAACTTCCTCAAAAAAGCCAATTTATTCAAATTAATAAAAATCAGCTTGGGGTGCTGCTTGTATTTAAACCTCACCCATACACTTTAAAGGCATCTTCCAAAAATGTAATTTAAAAGATTGGTGTTATTTCCATGTTATCCTGAAAGTCGCATTAAAAGGATGGGTTTTGCAGATTTCAAGCAGTATTCAATGAATGAAGGCAGATTCACTCATCCTCACTCATAAATTATTAAACTATTCCATGAATTTTAGCCCCTATTCTAATTTTTCTCAATATTTATATTTCAACTGTATCATTTTTTTGGGAATTTACATTTAATATTACCAATCCAACATATCAGACTTTTAAAATTAATATTTAAAGTGTTCTTCTCCTGATAAAAAAAAAGAATTAGGAGCTATGCAAGGTTTTCATTGCTTATGTGAAGTGAAAGGATGAGAGAACTAAGCCACGGGGATTGGTCATTTTTATTTAACACAACAGTAGCGTCTATCAAGAGTTGAGCGCTGATATGATTTGGGGGTTATATGCAAGTCCCACTTAATTAAGGCTTAGGTTTATTGTGTAGGAGCAATCTGGACAAGTAATTCATTCTTGGTTTTAAGTCTTTGTGAATTGTTGTTGAAGGCATGCTCAGTCAGGTTGTCTTGCAGTCAACTTGACAGTTGTCTCATTTATTCTGTACATTCACCAAGCTTAAATCCAAAAATTTCATCCTAAATCATAACATTAATATTGCTGTCTGTCACCACTAGGTATAATCACCTACTGTCACCAATACAGACAATGATGAGAACATTTCCCTTATTTTGTAGAGACTTCTCTTACCTCCTGTTTGGTGTTTTAGGCAGGAAGTAAAAGGAAATCTCCCCAATTTGATGCATATATATATATATATATAGCAGAGAAAAACCCAAAACAACAACAAGAAATTTGACCATTTACTACGCTAGCCAAATGAAAAATAAAAAAAATAGTTTTTGCTTTATATATACTTTAAATCCTGAAATCTTTGAAATTAACTAAGGTTAACTACACTACTGCATATCCAACCACACATAGGGGTCTATTCACAAAGCTGCCGAAGGATCTGGCCGCAGCTTCGGCCGATCCTTCGGCTAGCTTCGCCCCAGGACCCCTTCAGTTCAGTAGAACCGAAGGGGTGCTGAACGGGCTATTCACAATAGCCCGTACAGCTCCCCATCATGGCCGAGCGGCTCAGCCGAGCTGAACGCATATGCATCGGCTCGGCTAAGCCGTGCTGAAAGCCGAAGCTGGCCGAGCGGCTGGCCATAGGCCGGCCGACAGCCTTCTTCTGACAGCTGGGCAGAGCCAGCCGTGATCTTACGTGATGCTAACCAGGGACACTGATCTCCAAACAGCTAACTCTCCCTGGCGCCCCGGGAGTCTCCTGCTCCCGGCCGCCAAGGAGAGAAATGAACATGCTGAGCATGTTCGGCCGACCCGAAGCCACTCGAAGCAAGCCGATGTACGGCTGATTTCAGCCGATGTACGGCTGAAATTAGCCGTACCAGCCTGAAGTGAATAGCCGAACAGTGTTCGGCTCACTTCACTTCAGATCGGTCATTCATTTGGCTGCCCTCGGCAGCTTAGTGAATAGACCCCATAGTTTAAGATTGCGGCATGAATAGACAGCTTCATATTTAATATGGAAAAAAAGAAATGTTTTTACTATGAGATGCAGGCTAATATGTTTAGAAGTAGAGGGGATCCCACTTTGCCCTTATCCTACCACTGGATCATAGCAATTGAGTTTGGAAACCAACACTTCACAAGGTTGCATCTTATCTCTCTAAAATTTCAAGATGTCTGTACCTGTGTTTTAGGCAAAAAGCCTAGTCTTTGCCTCCTGAGTGGAAAATAAAGTATTACTAAAGGCTGGACATTTTTTACCTTAAAACATCCAGTACCTTTTAGACTCTCCAGTCCCCCCACACTTTTCTGTCAGTGGCGCTTGTCACCACCACCGGCCTTTGCAGCGATCCTCCGTCCTGAACTTCCTGGTTCTGGAGGAGGACATTGAGGGCAGAGTAGCCATAGGCTCCTTCTGCTGTCAGTCAAACTGCTGGGCAGGGAGGAGGGGTGTGTCCTGCCACAGGGCTGTGTGTGTCTACAGACGCACACAGCCACTGCAGACATGGCTGTGAATGAGCACGCATAGGTGCCTCCACAGCAGCCGCTTAGCCGATGGGGGCACTCGTATAGGGGGGCGGCGTAAAAAGCACTGGGGGACCTAGTACAAAAAAGGGATCTAAAGGATTTTTTTTTAAATAAACAATTTCTATATAAATGCAGCCTCCTAGTAATAAAAATCTTTGTTAAAAAAAGTTAAGGTTTAATATCACTTTAAAATATAGCTAAATCAAAATTAAAGCCAACATTTTTTTAAATTTTGGATAAAGTAAGGATCGGTTAAAACTCTGTTAGGTATTTTTGATTCTGTGTGATTCTGTTCTGTAGACTCTAGAGTAAGTGAGAGGAAATCTGTCCAAAGTGAGGAGAATGTCCACTTAAACAGTGTCCCCATTGGAAGATTTGCCTTCTATTCCTGTTCTGGTGACACCTCAAAACTGTGGATTTTTCCTCACTTTCCTCAATACTGTTGCCAGTAGACAAATTGAAATAGTATATCTCCCAATCGAGGATACAGCAATAGGAACCCGACAGAGGTTCTAACTTCTCACAACTCTATCTAAAACTAAAGAAAAAGGTTTTGGCTTTAGATAAGGTTTAAAGTTGTCACCAATAATAGAGTATTGGAATTTGTATCAGTTATCTAGTACTTAGAAACAGTAACGTGTTTAAGATGAGTCTGTCTGAGTCCAGATTATGTTAAAGTGTAATGTGAAATTCACGAATGCTGCAGCTATGTGCAATGTGGAGGCACAGCTCCATTTATCTAGTTCCCAATTCTATTAAGCTTTTAGTATAGGGTCAGAGAATGTAAAACCTTCCATACAGTGAAAGATTATAAAACTTGGCCATGTTAACTTTGGAATAAAGTAATTTTAGAGTCAGCTAAATTAACAATTTGAATTGTATCCACGCCCAGTTAAAATAAAAATAAAAAATCTAATTGAAAGAACCAAAAAAACTAATGCAAATAAAAGGAAGACTATTTTGCCATCTTTTTAGGAATACATGCTTTACTGTAAGTGCTTTGTGACATAAAGCAGTAGTTGCAATTTTATTTCATCTAATGATATCCAGGGATAAAATGACTAAGGGATTAATACTATAGCAGTATTCTGTATTTTTTCTTGTGTGTCAAAATTTGCAACAGTTGCACAGGGATTTTGACTTTCCTTCCTGTGGACCAAAATTGCAGGAGTTAAAGGAGAACTATGGGGTCAGGGCTTTTCCCCATAGTTCTCCTAATGGTAACGGGATGACACAAACTAGCATCCTCCTGTCACCCTAAGCTCAGTATACCGCTAGCTACAGCTTGCGGTATACTGAGACGCCGCAGCCAGGACGGATCCTGACATTACTGTCGAGATCAGCCTAGCTGCGGGATTGACAGCTGGCTCTGCCTATATAGAGGCAGAGCCAGCTGGGCCCGCCCCCTCCCCTGTCCGTTCCGCCAATCAGCGCTGGAGGATCGGACAGGGGAGGGGGAATCCCTGCAGGGAGCTGTGAGTGACGGTCGCTATGTGTTCGCTCACTTCCCGATCTATTGAGCCGACCTTTGACAGTTTAATTGTCACAGGTCGGCTAGTTCTATGAGGCTGAGTGATTTTCATTTGCCTCATAGTTCTCCTTTATTCTTAATTGATGATTAACTGTATAACCATATTTTTCAGGTCTACTAACTAATTTAAAATTGCAAATGTATTCTGTTTAAAACAATATATATCAAATTAAGGAAATTCATGATACATCTTTGGGGGAAAGGATGTTCCCACCCATAAATCATTTGGTAATAATTGTTAGTGCCTTAATAAATCATGTTTTATTTTATTTATTCAACAGCTATTCTATTTATTTTCCCAAATTTAGGGAAATACAATATACAGACCCACGGTAAGACAAAATGCAAGAAGTGAACAAGACAGTAATTAAAGAATTCTTTTTGCTTGGATTTCAAAATCTCCTATATTTAAAAATAATGTTTTTCATTAGCCTTTTGTTAGTTCAGTGTGTGACATTATGTGTAAATATTTTTATTCTCCTGGCAGTAGTATCAATGCAACATCTGCACACACCAATGTATTTTTTCCTCAGTCAATTGGCCTCTGCTGAAATGATGTTCACAATAAACATTATTCCTAATCTGCTTCACTTAATCGTGGTAGAAGGTGACATTATCTCTGTGATTGGTTGTGTCACTCAGTTCTATATATTCTCTGTTTCAACCAATGCTGAATCCTTTTTTCTTACATTGATGTCATATGATCGATATATAGCAATATGCAATCCACTGTATTATAGTTCTTTAATGAGCTTAAGCTTCTGCACCCGGTTAGCCATAATAACTTGGATCTTTAGCTTTGCATCAACTTTAATTGTCATTATCCAATTATGTACCCTACAGTTCTGTGGCTCAAATATTATTGATCATTACTACTGTGATTTAACACCGCTTCTGGAACATTCCTGTTCTGATGTCTCTTTAGTGAAAACACAGATATTTTTGTTTTCCATTCCCATTGCTGTGTTTCCATTTATTTTCATTATTGCAACTTACGTTCGTATCGTTATCACAATACTTCAAATTCCATCATCTGTTGGAAAACAAAAAGCCTTCTCCACATGCAGCTCACATTTGTCTGTTGTCTGTATCTATTACCTGACATTGATAACCATCTATGTAATTCCTAAAAATGAACATGCATTAAATCTAAATAAGTCTATGTCACTTTTATACACTGTGGTGACGCCTTTGATGAACCCTATCATATATACATTAAGAAATCAAGAAATCAGGAATATTTTTGTAAAATGGATCTGGAAAAAAATTAAATATGCTTAATAATTAATATCAATACAGGATGATGACACATCTTTGCAAAGGCAGCTGCACTTGACACTACTCATTATCACCTTGCTAACACTTTGTCAGTGACTCTCTATGGTTCTTACTTACAAAACAACATAATATTATGTTTAATACCTGGTATTACAGTAAATTATGTTTTCCAGTGCAAGACAACAGCCTGCAGATGTCATGCAAGCCTGAAGGTGGTGGAATATATCTGTTTAACACTGTAATTCTGAGATGTTATTACACATTTAAGATTAATAACTTAATTAAAATAGAAAAACTTTTTTTACCTTTTTTGCGCATTTGTCAGCCTATAGAAAAGAAAAATGGAGCAAGGTGTTTATTAAATAAAAAAAGATAGTCATATATATATATATATATATGCAAATTGGTCATTTAGCTAGGTTGAGTTATTTGCTACCTAAACTGACACATTGACCTGGGCATGTAGGCATCAGTGATCTCTGGTCACAATTGGTTAGTAGTACACTTATACTTTTTAGGGTTAGTCACCCTTCCCCAGCACCTCTTTTAAGACTTGTACGTACCTGTTCCATCTCCAAGAGATCTTCACCATGCTTCTGCTTGGTCTTGAGTAAGCTCTTCCTTTCAAAAACACTCCCCAGCTGGATCTGCATCTTCCTGGGACAAGTTACATAGTTACATAGTATTTGGGGTTGAATAAAGACATACGTCCATCAAGTCTAACCCATATAGGTCCACGCATCATCTCATTCTTAGGGATACTGGTATCCCTGGATATTACGGTCCCTCAAAAAATTGTCCAAGCGTTTCTTGAACAAATCTACACTCTTGGCTGAAATCACTGCCGATGGCAGTGAGTTCCAGACCTTAACCGCTCTTACTGTAAAGAACCCTCTTCGCCCATTGTGCTGGAATTTTTTCTCCACCAACTTTAGGTGGTGGCCTCTAGTCTTTGTAATGGAGTTAATCTCAAACAGTTTGTTGCCAATGTTGCTGTCACCATTGAACATCTTGTACATGAAAATCATATCCCCCCTTAATCTCCTTAATTCCAGCGTAAACATGTTTAAGGTCAGAAGCCTTGTCTCATAGCTCTGGTCCTCCATTCCCTAATTAGTTTTGTTGCCCTCCGCTGGACTCTCTCCAGTTCAAGGACATCCCTTCTCAGTACTGGCGACCAAAACTGGACCGTGTACTCCAGATGCGGTCGAACCAATGATCTATATAGAGGCACAATTATAGACTTGTCCCTGCAATATATCCCCTTCTTAATACAGGACAAGACCCTGCTAGCTTTGTTTACCGCAGCTTGGCACTGCAAGCTACCATTCAGTTTGTGGTCTA